GAAACAAAGAGCTCTTATCACCGCGCTGAATACAAGCCAAACCAGCCTTCAAATAAGTTCAGCGGTTAAGTTCAGCGGTTAAGTTCAGCGGTGCGATTTCTCTATTCTCCCATCTCGTCATGTGATGATGAAAAGCTTGATCTTGTGATGCAATCTAAACACTCAGTGTGACACAAACACTCCGGGGCCAGTGTGGACAGATACTGCCTTGTTGTCAATAATATTCAGTAAGCAGATGATACTCCTGCAGCTGCTGTTTAATCTCTCCACTAACCTATGATAAATGGTCCGAGCCCGGGGACCTCAGCCCCCGTTTCCTCTCTCATCATCACACCTGATATTTCTCTAAGCAAAAGAACACTGAAAAATGTGTTTTACTACTACTAACCCCTTGTTAGGAGTGAATAAGGTCATATGACTTACCCTCATTGTGCTCTTTCTTTGTGTCCAGCTGTCTTGCCTTTGTATTATTTGTCAGTTATATTTTGAAATCAGAGGATACGAAGTCCTTGCTGTTAGCTAATGTCCACTAAGAAAGAAAATGTTTGACCTGAAACTTATTGCTCATTTTCTTTGCAGAGTTAGACCAGCTTCTAACTATGTTATCACAATAAAATGTAATTGTTGTATCATATTTAAGTGGCTTTTTCAAGTAAATATATCATCTCTGCTTATTTAATAACTGAACAATATTCACGCCCACATAACTAAGATGTAGTATCACTGTAAGAAGAAGAATAATAGTGCTCATGTCATAAAAAACATTGTGAGTTTTTTGACATAAGTTGACATTCAGAAGCAGCCCAGAAGAATCAATGCTTTGTACTGTAGATCCAATCAAGCTCCACCCATCAAACCATCCATCCATCCGTCCATCCCATCCCTCATTCCAAAATGCCGCTTTTCCCTGTAAAGTTTTACAGTGATGCCAGAAAACAATATTTCTGATATCAAAAACGGTATAATTACTCCCAAAAAAGAAGATCGCGTCAAATAGCGTCACGCGGCAGAGACAGCTTTCTTTTTACGGAGCTCCAACGTCGCATTGCTGTTAACGTTTGCGGCGCCATCTTGTATACGGGTGTCATGTTCTCATGAGAATTGTTATATCTTATATACAAGATCAGAGCCACAGTATTGCCCTCATACTATATTTTTCTAGAAAAAAACCTACATCCATCCATCCATCCATCCATCCATCCATCCATCCATCCATCCATCCATCCATCCATCCATTACATTGCATTTAGCTGACGCTTTTATCCAAAGCGACTTACAATAAGTACATTCGACCAGGAAGACACAAACTTGAAGAAAACAGAATCATATAAGTACATCAGGTTTCATAGAGCCAAACATTTCAAGTGCTACTCAACTGGCTTTAGATAAGCCAGTCCTTTATTAGTATATAAGTGCTTTGTTAATAGTTCTATCGCTCGAAGTGGAGTCGAAAGAGATGAGTTTTCAGTCTGCGCCGGAAGATGTGCAAGCTATCTGCCGTCCTGATGTCAATGGGGAGCTCATTCCACCATCTTGGAGCCAGGACAGCAAACCCACGTGTTTTTGCTGATGGGAACTTGGGTCCCCCTCGCAGCGAGGGCGCAGCGAGTCGTTTGGCTGATGCAGAGCGTAGTGCACGCTCTGGGGTGTACGGTTTAACCATGTCCTGGATGTACGAAGGGCCAGATCCATTCGCAGCATGGTAAGCAAGTACCAGTGTCTTGAAGTAGATTCTAGCAGTTACCGGAAGCCAGTGAAGGGAGCGGAGGAGCGGAGTGGTGTGGGAGAATTTAGGAAGGTTGAAGACCAGACGAGCCGCTGCATTCTGGATGAGCTGCAGAGGTCGGATGGCACATGCAGGTAGACCAGCCAGGAGGGAGTTGCAGTAGTCTAGGCGTGAGATGACGAGAGCCTGGACCAGAACCTGCGTGGCTTTCTGGGTCAGCTGGGGACGTATCTTCCTGATGTTGTAAAGCGTGTATCTGCAGCAACGGGTTGTAGCAGCGATGTTTGCAGTGAAGGACAGGTTGTTATCTAGGGTCACACCCAGATTCCTTGCAGTCTGAGTCGGGGAAACAACTGAGGTGCCGATGTTGATTGTTAGGTCAAGAGTGGGACAATCTTTTCCCGGAAGGAAGAGCAGCTCAGTCTTGTCAAGGTTGAGCTTGAGGTGATGAGCAGACATCCACTGAGAGATGTCAGCTAGACAAGCAGAGATGCGTGCGACGATCCATCCATCCATCCATTCATACACTGAAAAAACTGAAACGTTGACATTTCACATAACTAACTAGGTTAGTTGAAACCCATAATATTAAGTTGAACCTAATGTGTTTTATTTAAACGTAATGTTATTGCTTTCAACTAACCTAATACAGTTATGTGATACATTTAATTTAAGTCAATGTTTCAATTTTTCAGTGTATATATATCCATCCATCTATCCGTCCTTCCCAGCATTAATGCATTCATTCATCCATCCGTCCATCCACCCAACCAACCACACATGTATTCATCCATCCATCCATCCCTCCACCCATCCATCCATAAATGTTCTGCTGGATATTGTGGTTTGGGTTGTGTGGTGCAGGCTATAGCCCAGACCTCCTCATCTCCAGCCATATCTTCCATGTCCAGTAACATCCTGAGGCATTCCCATGCCAAATGGGATATTTCATCCCTAGATCACCTCCCAGTTAGACATGCCCGGAGCGCGTCCAGGAAGGGGTCCCGGGGGGCAGCCTCATCAGATGGTTGAGGCACCTCCTCTGGCTCCATTCGGCACTCAGCCACATTGGCTCGGGGCACTTTCTGTATGCCTGGGCTTTTCACTTAGTTCTAGAGAGTCAGTAACCCTGCGTAAAAAGCTTGTTTTGACCACTCAGGTCCTAGATGTTGTCAACTCACTCTAAAACATAGGTGATAGTCATGGAGCGATGACGGGTAAATCAAGAGCGTCACCTTCAAAACTCTCTTCACTTGTATCGATGAGGATGTCACACCCTTCTACCCCGTGGATATCATGCTTCACGTCACTGGCCATAGTGAACAAGACCAGTAACCATGGCCACAGTGAAACCAAGCTTGCAGAAGTACACAATTAAACTCAAACTGAATTGGAATTCCCTAACAATGCCAGAATCAATGTTTTGCAGGGATAAACCCACTGATAGTAGATTGTGCCATTTCTGTGAAAATGTAGACGTAGGTGCCTTGAGCAATACTCTGGTTTTAATAAGGTTAAGTGGAGAAAGCTGACTCACAGCTGTAAGTCAACCCAAACATGTTCAAGTGCTACCTTGGACAGAACATTGTGCTCTATGTTTTCATCCCTTTCACATCTTTCTTTGGCAGGTGTTCTCCCAATGGTCTCAAATGATAAATAATTGATTTGATTGGCCCAATTCAGTAAAACTATTATTATGTTGATTACGTGAATGCTTTCTGGCTAACATCCGGTTGGCTCTGTACTTACTTTGTTGGGGATCAAATAAGTGTGACACTCAAATGAATCTACCCATTTAAAGACGGAACACGATGAAGATGGCGACGGCAAAACCTACAACATATTGGCTGTTGGTAGATGTATCTCTGTTATTGTACATGATGTTATAAGGAACATTTTCAAGATTGTTTTATTGCTGAGGCCTAACCCAAATGTAGTTTCCTTCAGCTCTTGAGAGGTTATTGTTTTTGTTTACTGATGTGCAACTTTACTGGCTTTGTTTAATCTCGCTGGTCAAGCCCTACTGCATGCTACTGGCCCACTATCGAGCAGAGGTTGAGATTAGCCGGTAAACAAGATGGAGTAAATAGCAGCTAAAGAAGCATTTGTTGGTTGATGGGGAACAATACCTAGTTAAAAGCTGTGAATATTCTATGATCATACATTCATTTAGTGAACAAGAACCCACATGATGCTTATGTTGCTTCATATCTGCTCGATAAGAACTGTTTGCTATCAGTCATCATGTGGGAACTCATAAGGTGATGTTATGGCAGTGTTGTGTTTGTGGATAAAGGAATTGTGTAAGAGTAAAAGTGCACCAATTTAACATTGCTTCAATTTGTTGTCCTACAGAACATAATAGTTAATAGTATGGTAATAGTCCATAATAGTCAACATTATTTATAAAATGTATTATGTGACATTTGTTATTTTATTTTATTGTTAAAAGCACATGGATATATTGTATTGGATATATTACAGCTTAGTAGTGCAAGTATAAGTGTATGTAGTATTTGTTTAATTGTATGAAAATGTTGAGGTGGGTGTTTTACTTTGTATGGGGATGTTGAAATATATGGAATATATATGGAGTACATATTCCTATATTATTAATAGTTTACATTTGTATTATTTGTAATGTCAAAACCATTACATTTAGTATACTGCTAGTTAAAGCCTTTTATTATGTATTAACGTTGTGAAAAGCACAGGTGCCTGGCGCCAAAAATAAAAAAAAGAACTCTGACGTCAGCCTGGTGCAGATCCTCATCTAAAAACAATCAAAGCAGATCCCAGTGAAGCGCTGGGTTTCAAATGCAGTTTTTTTCCCCACATGACGATTTCAGCAGAGCGAGCGCTTGTTCATTGAATTATGCGTCGCACCTCTTCGTCATGACAACTAGCAGTGGGATTGAAATATTGCAAGTGGTGTCCTATGAGAGAGCGAGAGAGAGAGAGCGGGCGAGCGAGCGAGAGAGAGCGGGAGGCAGCGAGAGGCTTTAGACCGCACTGAGAGAGAGAGAGAGAGAGAGAGAGAGAGAGAGAGAGAGAGAGAGAGAGAGAAGATTAGAGTATGAGAGGAGAGAGCGAGATAGAGAGAGAGATAGAGAGAGAGGAGAGATAGCGAGAGATACAGGAGAAGATGATAGAGATAGGCATATTAGAGATAGAAAGATATTCGCTCTCCTCTTCCCGGCATCTTTTCTGTTGTGTTTCTCCCACGCACTCTGGTATCCTCTTCATTGCAGGGCTTCAGAAAATATATATCACTGCTAATATTTAAAGCTCTATGTCTAAAGCCATGAAGGCTAAACGGAAGATCCCCGCGCTGTTCTCTGTTTCTCAGTCTGAGCCTCTATGTTCTGTGGTGAGCATCACAAGTTAAACCAAGGGAGCGCACCACGCAAGCGCGTAAAGAGATTGGACACCTGATTTTGTGGGGTGTCTTTAGAGCGCTATTCCTATTTTTTTTAAGTCAAACAATCCGTGTTTTTCCCCAGGCCCTCGCTGTGCTGCGGTGGGGGGTAGATACACCGTGGATTATAATAACCAACATGGACAAATGAAGGAAAGAGGACAGATCACTGCGTTGACTTTTGAAGCAACGCTCAGAGTCTTGACGCTAGCGTCTATTTTACAGTGAGCGCCTTTTTTCCCCCTCTCTCCTCTTTGATTCCCACTCGCTGCTCAACATTAGAAAAGTCAAAATATCTGTCTGGATAAGCAGCACAGAGCAGGGTGTTGTCAGAGAGGGATGAGAGGAGGAGGGGGCAGTATGAGGTGTGCTTTTTTTGGAAAAGCCGGAGAAAGACGGACACCGAGAAGGTGTTCTGATGTGCGAAAGCCTGCGACGCACTGCCCTCCTGAGAAATAATTGTGATCAGGGAAGAAATGGCCTAGTTAAAACATCATCGACACACCGGCAGAGGATAGAAACAGAAGAATCGTGTTCCGATGGACGGGCCATCACCACCGCCATCATCATAATTCCAGTGCTTGCATCGAGTCTTTTTTAGGTAAGCCGTATGTCCACCGCTACCTCCGAAACGTGACTGGAGATTTTCCTGTCTATCATAGGTGTTATGTGTGCGCAATATGTACGCTTTGGTGACTTTGCACATTGCACACGTTATCCATCTTGACGCACTGTCACAATTGGGGGAATGAGATGTCCATGTAAATCCTCGTGCCACTTTGTTGCTATAGCACATTATTTTTCTTCCTTTCTCGTGGAAGCCTTCGATTGGCCTTGCCTGTTGATAAGCTGTCACATCCTAACATGATCCGACTACTTTGTGCCTTCAGCATCTGTCGTTTTCAGCTAATGATATTCATGTGATTTAATTGGAATCAACTCATCATGTAGGCTGTCAATCACACAGGATGTTTGGCTGCATTATAGGCTCCAATAATGTAATTTTCTCCCTTGGTGTAGGTTATTTCGATAATGTGGTGATGGCTGTGTTAATCAAACACACATGCTGCAATAGAAACTCATCTGAGCCAGAGTGGGTGACAGGCCTTGAACTCAGAAGATGTCCTCTCGCTCGTTAACAAACCTCACAACACACTCTGAGACACACACAGTATGCTCAGAGACACACGAAACCTGTGCCGGAGAAGATGCAGATAGCATTGTGAATTAAATGCACACTCTGATGATCCAGGGAAAGGCTCCATTAATATTCAGCGGTGGTTGGGCAGTGCTCATTTAATGGCAGACAACAGGACCTCTGTTCTGACAGGTCATGGATGAGAAATTGTATATTTTCTTTTTTGGAGATTTAATGGCGTTTTCTACACTGAATCGTTGCCCTTAGCTTGGGGCAAGTGACATTTAAAATCCATCAGAAAACCAATAAAGTGATTTTGTAGAATCTTTTAGTATTAATCTTGTCCATGTACAGCTGGAATAGCTGTGATTGGTTTCTTAAGCCTGCGTCATGTCAACCTGGTTACTGGCATTTGGACACTTAGATAGACCAGAACATGGCTGACGCCTTCCATTGGCTTTTACATGCCAAACATTTGCCTTATTTACTGCAATATTTATCTCGAAAAAGTACATGGTACCCAGAGTAAAAATTCAGCAGAAGTGTATATCTACCATATTTAAATGTCTTGTGGGAACATTTACAATTATATTTCTTCTAAGCTAATAAGAACTTAGTTATCTCAATATTGTGATGGTCCATTTTGTTTCTAGTAGGGCTGAAACAATTCGTGGTCAAATTGATTGGTCAATCATAAAAAAGTAATTGTAAACTACTTTGATCTTGAAGTGAATATCTTTGGGTTTCAGACTGACTAAAAAAAGGCATACAAAGACATCACCATGGGCTTTTAGAAAATGCTGACATTTTATAGACCAAATGATTCATCGAGAAAATAATCAACACTTAATTGTGAGTATTGGGCCAAATCTCGAGTCCCTGAAGGATTTGGTGACAAATCACATTACAAGATGATGTAGCACAGTGAAATCATACACCATCTCTAATCAACCAAACAACATTTCAAACTTTAACATCTGGAACTGCCAGCATTGTTTTTCCTCACCAAGCAAAATATACTGTGACTGCAACCGTTCCCTGCATATTGTATCCAATAAACTACAGCAAAGGGCCAATAAAGATAATATTGCGGTGAGCACAGTGTCGCTTGGTTTCCAGAGGGAAAACAGGAAAGATAAATGGAATTAAACCAGAAAGAATGGCGGATTAATGGATCGGATGACAACATGTAGCGGAGACTTACAATCCAGAACAAAACGTGTTGTGTCTTAATGTTTAATGAAGTATGTTTGGGTGAGCAAGGTGAAGTGTGGAAAGGTGTTCAATGTTCATCAGTCTTACAGGATCAAAGCCGGAGCTTTCTTCAAGGAGGACAAGGTTGATACTGAGTTGTTTTGTAGTATATATGCTGTATACATTATATAGCTGTTTTTGAGAGATCAGCCTTGTCAAACATCTTGCTTATTTCCATAACAAAGGCTTGCATTTTAAAGGGGTAGTTGTATTAGCTTGGTATTGTCCCTACTCATAGGCTTTTGTAATTACTGTACATGTAATGTTGGTTAAAGCTTAAACTTGAGTAAGTAAAACAAATGAATCTGCATCATATTTTTAGCTGCTAACTGATGGCTCAGCGCATTGTCATGTATTGAAGTGAAGTGCACATTGAGTACTTAAAAACAATACATGGGTCAAAAATAATTTGGCATGGTGAAATGGCCGTTTGGTTTAATGTGAAGCTGCAGTTATGTGTGGATTCATTAGTTTCGTTCCATTTAATAAACTATATTAGATGTTCTACTTAGTCAACAAGCTTTGCTATGAGCCAATCTAAAGTCCTTCTGTATGTTAGCAGGCTGTTGGTGGTGCTATATGGTCATATTCTCCTTGCACTATTAAGCACTACAGACATATGATGTGCTTTATACAATGTAAGTGAAGATAAACAGAGGTGTCATCAAAGTATGATACATGCGTATTATACTTGGTTATATTATCTGCACACAAAATGCATGAAACTAGGATTTATGAAAGGCAGTTCCAATTTTGTTTTATTTCAATAGTTCCTACATGTTTTACTTTAGCATATTTAGCTCTCAATTTCCATCCCACTTTGTGCTAGGGCTGTACAGAATAGTTTACGGCCTTGAAGCTTCATTCTTAACATTGCCATTGTAATTCTAAATCAACATTTGAATACTGTGCTTTTTCTTTTTATAATGTATATTTATTCAGTTTAAACCGTTTAAACCCAGTATCTCTGCACAGTTGACCGATACAGATTAGACTACAGTCATATTATTAGTAATATAATATTTGTATAGTTAGATTCTAGTGGTGGCCATGCTCTGGACATATTCTTTACAGAAAGACAATAAAAAGTAATTCATTTAATACGATTAATCACTTTATTCAAATTGAAGATAAAACCTATTTTTTTTAGGATGATGACATCATTAAATATGACATGGAAATATCAAAGTTTAATTCAAATGTATGCTTCAAATGTTACATACCACTGACATTAGTAGTCTGTGGTATAGTCACTGCTTTCTGTAACCGGCCATTTTAATATAATGCTCTTAGTACTGTTAGTAAAAAAAGTCCTCATTACATGCTGTACAGTGTCATGCTGCCATCACAAGAGGCCGCACTGGAAAAAGTGTTATGAAACGAGTGGTGTCATTGCAAAGATGTATTCGCACTTTGAAAAATTGCAAAAATGATATGCATTCTAAATGTCAAGTCATTATATATTCTCATGTTTTGCATTTGCACTTGAAGTGCCTTTGCCATACAATTTCAATGTAGGAACTGCAGATCAAGGATGTGGCTAGAGAGAAATTACCAAACATCATCGTTAGCGTTATTACTGGTCATGTCAGTGTAGTAATTAAAACCAGCAGATCATTTGGGGAAATGGCAATCCTGTTGCAATGTTCACTCTATGGCTGAAGCATTGAACAAGGGTAACATTTTAATGAAAACATAAGGGACCATTTTGACTAGGGTAGGGATGTCACAATTCCAGAAATTGTTTCTACAGTTAAAAACATTAAGATATATCTCATGTACGTCAACATTCACTGCTTCATTATCATTGGCATACTCTTCAATACATTAAACAACTGTATTTGTGTACTGTATCCTAAACACATTATCCAGGACGACAGTGTGAGTATAGCGTCAGGTTTTCAGAATTTCAACTTGGCACTACCGTTTCTTTTGACCACTCATAGTCCAGTGGTCAGGTATTTAATCTGCCACTAAGGCTTAAAAAATAATGAAGTAATTTAAAAAGTGATTGGCGTTTGTAACATAGTAATCTCTTTAAACATGTTCTGCATTCAGAATATGTAGCATCAGGACAATAATTTGATATTGGAGGGGGTTTTGGATTCTGTTTTGCAGTAAGAGTAGTATTGGCCAATCAGGTTTGAGCCATTGAATTCTGGTAAACACTTGTGTGGCAAACAAAAAAGACAAATCTTGTAGAAAAAACATGTAGACTATAGACCGTCACAGTATAAGAAGTCTTAGCTTGGATATCTGCTGGTTAAATTAGAAGCCACAAAATTGGGGTCCCAGGTTTAGTCATACTCATAGCTGATTGGTTCCAAGATTGGTAAAATAGTAATACTGCTGTATCAACTTGTCATCATGCCTTCCAAGCCAGCACCTTCCATGATATCATTTTGTTTCCCTTTTTCCAGTGTCTCTTCTGAGGTTTCCCATCTATTTTGTTTTTATGGCACAACTCTATGAACTGTGTGTCAGTCCCTAAAGGAGAGTCTGCAGGATTGTGCATTTTCAAAGTGGTTTCAAGCGCTCGAAAGGCCCACTGGACAGCGCTTGTATTCTCACCATCTTTTTTGTATGGTCATACCATAAGTCATCAGATATATATCAAGAACATTCTTCAAAATCTGTCGCACCAACTGCACTGCATTGACTTGCAGTCCAGAAAGCTACACATTAATAGCACAAAAACTGAATTATTTCTAGTTTTTTTACAATTATATTGATTGAAGAAAAGTCAGCTTAGCAGCATGGAAATTCAGCCTATATTAATTAGTTTTTGACCGGCTTTAAAGCATCGACTAGCGATATAACCAGTATGGTTTCTAACCGAGGTGCAGAATCCAATGTAAAGCATTTACTACTTGCCCGGGTTAATGGTCAAGATGCTGTGATGGAGGCTAGGAGCTTTAATTTCTGCCCAAAGGTGTCAAGTCAGAGAAAAAAACAGGTTAAAATGACCCAGCTCTCAGTCACGTCACGGACAAGGAGGAGAAGAGCAGGAGAATAGCTTGACCTGACCCATTCACCGTGAGCAAAGGAAAGCTGGAGAAAACGCCTGTGCAAATACCATGGTAACCATCTTGTGTAATCTCCTCTCAACAATTTCACATAACAGTCATCCATGAGATAAGCAAGGATGAGTGCTGTCCTGCCTTCTGAAGTCTGGGGGGAATATCACACAGATCCCCATTCAAATATCT